GTAAAGCTGATAGAAAACATTTACAGATGATTACAGATTAGCAGGTGATCATTTTAAAAGTGTTTCGCATATATATTTTTTGAATATTCACGAGTGAAATACCTTTAAAACAGAGATTTCATCGCGATTCTTCTGTACCTTTTTCTGAAATTTTTTTTACCATAATCAAACATATGGTGTTGAATAAAGTAAGACTGTTATTGTGCTGTCTTTATTATTCATCATTACACATGAAATCCTTTAACTATGAAAAAACACTTGACAGAGTAGATAGAAGAACCTTATGGAAACGTCTTCGACTTGATGATATGCCTGAGAAGAACAGCTTGCATGTAGCTAGACGATTTGGACTTAGCAGACCACCTAGCTCTTCTATCGTATACACATCAACAAATGCAGATGAAGACAACTAGTGTAGCGACAGCGTCTGCACCAGAAGGCCTCAATATATACAAGGGAAAAAGTAAAATCCTAAAATACAGCACAGAGAGGCCCAAACAAATCACACCTGATGAGGAAGCTCTGTGCAGCACCATTAATAAACAAAGGGATCTGGTGCAGATGTGAAGGCATGGGTTGAAAAAACAAAGGGCACCATTTCTACAATTGCAAAACATCTGCGATCCGAAGCAACTGTCTTTAGATAGTGCTAAAGTTTGAATTTTCAATACAAACATCAAGACAGTTCTATTATACTGAGCTGAAACTTGGGAAACTACAGCGTATTTATAAGCAGGTGTCAACGCAAAATACTCCATATCGGTTGACTAAACATCATCATCATCTAGCTTACATCGACTCATGAATTCAACTACTGGTCTCCAAACGCCCTGGTACGTCCGAGAGTGGAAAGATTCAGCTCTCCCTGTCCAAATGCTCTCAAATGGCCACAAGTATACAGCCACTGCCAGAGAAGTCCTATTCACTGCTTTCCTGCGACGGTGTTGTTTACGAAATTAAGAGGACAAAAAGCGAATGTCCGGTGCTTTAACCTGGTTGATTGATACGGAGGGTTCACCTAGAGGAGTTGGAAAACCCTGATTCCCAACCGATGGTGCACTTGGGCTCCAGTATCCTGGGTGAACAAATGGCGTATGAACCATTTATTGGTCACCGGCAACCATGGGGATTGAATCTCGTGACATTGCTCTACTGCCCTATGGATTAGACCTTTAGGTCGAATGCTCCAGATGTGGCTCCATAAGAAAACCACCTGCTTCGATCTGGGCACCCGAGTAGTATTACAGCCCAAGTGATTTGTGTGGCGCATATCTATTCAATGCCCCTTTATACCGATAATTATATGTCCAAATAAATATAATAATAAGATAAATGATAATTCACATTAGAACTAGAAAAAGTACTTCACGAAACTATTTCATTTTTTTTCTAAAAATTATCTCTATACCAAATAACTCTCCAAGTATCCAGAAATAAACTTTTAATCAAATTCTAATTTAGTTTTTTTCATTCTTACAGGAAATGTAACTTGTCTTCATTATCACTTGTGTGTATAGTTTGATCATATATAGATATCTTATTGTTCCTCCGCTTACAACAAGTCACACTTCAAATGTACACGTTTATAATATACAAGAAAGTTCGAAAATGAAACAACTTGACAGTCAGTCAGTCAATCAATCAGTAAATGAATAATGAAACAAGATACTAAACATTAAATATGAGAACGACATAAACAAACAAACAAAACAAAAAAATAAAGAATCATGCAAACAATTAAATCTAAATACATATGTCTATATACATACTTTTATATAGATATATACAGAGAAAGAAAGAAATTACATGAATTCCTATTTATCTTTCTATATTGTCAATAGTGTAATTGTTTTCTTTCTATTTTAATTCGAATAGAAAAACAAGATTTCCTGTTCTCATAAAATTTATTGTTCGTTTTCTTTTATTTCTCCTCCGTATTGTATCATTATTATTAGATTCAAACACTTGAATCTTTAGTTAACTTCAACTACCTACATTGTTATTTGTATTAAACCATAAAACATAAAGAGGGAGAGAGAAGGGGGGGATAGAGGGAGATAGTACGAAAAGAGACATACAAATAGTTTGTATTTAGTCTGACGGAAATGGGTGTATATAATATCGTTTTCCTCTCTCATATTATAGGAGAAAAAAAAACAAAACAAAAATTTCGTACCTATCATAAAATGTCTCTCTCTCTCTCGCCTTATTTACTTGTCTCTCTGTGTCTAACCTCCATATATTTATATCCTTTTTTGTCCTGCTGAATATATCTATGTGATTTTTCAATGTTCACCGGATTTTCGTGCTGAAATAAACGAACTTCATTATATGTATGTAGGAGATAGAAAAGAATATGTAAAGTATAAAGTATAGAAAACAATGGTCTTCTGATGAATGAATTTTTAACCAACAATAAACAGATACATACATTCATTAAAGATATGTTGTTATTTAACTTCAGATTATATATATATTTTTGATTTTACAAATTTCTCAATAGAATTCCTTTATTTTGATGGAGTTTTGTTCTCTGAGATGGATGGTTTGGTCGTGGAGCTTTCATCGTTCTTCTGAACAACATCATCAGCACAAACTTCAGATAGAAGTGTTCGAATTTCTCCATATTCGTTTCACAACTTGGAGAAATTCGAACACTTCACTTCTATCTGAAGTTTGTGCTGATGATGTTGTTCAGAAGAACGATGAAAGCTCCACGACCAAACCATCCAGCTCAGAGAACAAAACTCCATCAAAATCATCCACACTTAAGATGAGACAACTAACGATACTACTCCGTTGTTCGAACTTAAAGAAGTAACAAGATTACTATTTGTGACTGTTAAGTGTGTTAACTAACTAGTTAGTGTTCCATATAGCAATAAACACAATTTTGTTGTATCAAGGCGCGGTTCCAACTGTTAAACAGAAAACTTCTTTCTACTGAATTTAAATCAGTCATTAGTTATGTTATTGTTGAACATGAGGTTCAACTATGGTCACTTCTCTCCACCCGAATTTTCATTCATAATTATCCAGATAAACTGGTTCTACGGGAAATCGGATAATAAATTTGTGCACAGCCCAGTCTTAGACAATTCATCAAGTCACCCTTAGTCTTCATGTTCAGTAGTAATAAGTTCAATACCCTATCTCACCATGACTTCGACCTCTTGAATTTAGCTGTTTCTGATTCTTATTTTTGTCAAGTGGATAATTATTTTGGGCATCTCTTTCTAGTATGTTATTTTTTCCCATTACATTTCGAATGTTCCGTGACTTCGGTAGTAGTCGATGTCTGTTTGAGCTGTGTAGATAGCTGCAGATCATTCGGTTTGGGTCTTCGCGATTTTCGTTACTAGTGGTTGGAGAATTTGGATGATACAGATCAAAATCGGTCATAATGGGGTACGTGGACTTACTCTTATTTTTCCCTTAGAGCATGAGTTTTAAAACTATGATTCTTCGTATTCTCTAAACTCAGTGTTTCTTCTCTAATCACAATATCATTAGGTAATCTTTTTCATGATCATTCAAACTGTTTCTTCTACTACTCTACGACTTATGTTTGATAATCTATCTCATTTCGCTAATACGTTATGACCACAACCACAACCCTATACTGATAATTACCATGTGCTCATTAGTGACTAGCTTCGTGAGGGGATTCTCGGAGTCCTAGTGAGAAGCAGTGACCAGTGGAGCTAATCCGTGTCGGGTAAAGACAGGTATCTACTTCAGTAAAATGGAATATGGTCGGACAATCTCGTGGATTGGTTGAGGTTAGACATTAACACCATTAGATGCCGGCTCAATGCTCTAGTAGGTTAAGCGTTCGCGTGCGAGACCGAAGGTCCTGGGTTCGTATCCCGCGAAGTGGGATCGTGGGTGCGCACTGCTGAGTCCCACAATAGGAAGAAACGGCTGTCCATTGCTTCCAGGTTTTTAATGGTGGTTTAACATCAATCGGTTGACGATATCAATCAAAAACTTAGTAGACTCAACAACCCTATACGGATGTTTGCTATTTTATTATAGATTACTATGTGTAAAATTAATTCTTTAATATGATTCCATAGCTTTAGTAAATGATATCGTCGAAAAGCAAATTTTCTCCGCTGAACTGTTTTTCATTTAATGAATGATCCGGTGGGCTTATTTAATTATTCTAATTCAATTCGTTAAGTATCTAGAAAACACTAATACCAAACAAGAACACGGATTAGTAGACTATGTCAATTAATTGTCTTGTGAGTGAATGAAAACTATACTAGCCACACAATAGTATATACACATATTACTCTTTCTTTACAATTGATAGATTAGTAAACATGACCAAACCATTCAGATCAGAGAACAAAACTCCATCAAAACTAGTAAACACTGTCATATTGATCAAGTCATTTAGTGCCGACTAAATTCTAACGATTAAGTCGTAATGTGGTCACCAGTCAAAGGAACTCGACATCGCATGTACTATGTTGAGATTTAAAGTGGTGGTTGAAGGTGATCGACAGGAAACCCTGGACCTAGGTCCCGATAAACTCTAAGAAGGACTTGACATACATGACATCGATCACTGCCTAGTGATCAATCAACTATAAATACATTTCAGTCCTACAGAATGTCAGTTGCGGCCTGAATAGATCAGTGGTAACGTGTCACACTGTGAAGCTAGATGATACGAAGTCGAATCCGTCAGATAGCATCGGTTCTCCTAAGGTTACAAGTACACCTTGTTAACGAGTGATAAAAAATGTACAAAACCTAGGTTCACAGTTTCCAATGAACTACTCTCCAACTACCAAACACCAGAACACTTTCTTAATGTAAGAGAAACAAATGTAAATGTCTGTATTATTCAAACGTAAATAAATAATCACAATAATAACAAATCAACATATAATCAGAGAATAACTCGAAGTTATTAAAGGAACCGAAAAGAAAAAAATAAAGTAGACAGAGAGAAAGAAAATAAACTTGAAAATACAAACACCTTTTCATGGTTTATAATTATGTTGAATTTTTTCCAAAAGTTTCGATTTCCATAATTCTTCTGGTATTTGTGTAGCCCATGCAGGATATTGAGAGATGGGTAAATGAAAATTAGACATATACATTTTGATTTTATCAGCTTCGTCTAGAAAAATTTTTTTTTATAAAAACAAACAAAAAAAGGAAAGAAAGAAAGAACAACTTATATTACAAATGAAATATACCGTAGGTAGGAAATAATATTAATAATGTGGAACATATTGATACAAGTAAGGAAGGAATATAAGTATATACTTACCTCTTTTAAAAAAAAAACAATAAAAAAAGGTTTTGGTGATAATATATTTACTATTAGAATATAATAAAAATTAATAAGGATAGTAGTGTTTTGTGACTTTGTCTATATTGCACGATACCATAAACTTGAGAGGTATATCCTCAGAATACGTAACTCGAAGCGATGAGTATACTTACGTCACCTATGGTGTATAGTGCGCAGCAGTTCGTTCTGTTCTACTGTATGGCTGAGAAACGTGGTCATTATGGATAGAGGATACTCGTAAGTTACTAGTATTTGGTCACAGATGTATTAGAAATATTGCCCGTATCTGCTGGAATAATCGAGTAAGAAATAGTGAAGTTAGACGCAGGGTATTAGGGAATGGTGGTAAATCAATTGATGAGGTTGTGAATCTTTATCGATAACGATGGTTGGATCACATACTAAGCATTCGCAATCACCGATAACCATAGCGCGCAATGCTAATTAGTGCCGGATACGGATGGAACAAAGTTAGGGGAGGCCAAACCAAAACGTGGCATCAGTCCATAAAGTCACGAACTTCTGGTCTGAGCCATGTTGGTAGATGCACACTACCTGGTATGGGGTCTGTACTACTATCTTAACCAATGGTTAGAGACTCTGGGTGACATGGCTCAGGACCGATCACAATGGCGTAGGTGTATATACACTCTTTATCTTCCTTTAAACAGTGAGGTTAAAAATTATCTTGGTTAATGACAAAACAGTTGTTAGTTTATAAGACCAGTATATGTAATTAGTAACTATAAATAGGATTTTATAGCTCTAGTAGACGACATTGTGAAAAAGAAACCTTTTCACTTGAAAGCCTTTATTTTTTTAATGATTCAATGGGTTTCTTTCATTATTTACGGATTGATTAGGACTCGGACAGAGTTAAATAATTCAGTGGGTTTCTGTGATACTCCGTCAAACTTGTAATAGTGAATTCGAGAATAAACTTTCCGAAAGGCTATGTGAACGTCTGAAACAGTTCTGAAAGACTCTGCGTTGAAATTATATGTATCCGAACAATCATTCTGTTAAATATACTACACTGAACCACATAGAGACGGAGTCTAAGTTGCCGGAAACTGAACGTAATGTTACACTGAGAGCATATCCATTATCAGATTTATCAAATGAATACAGATAATTCAAAGTATATGTCGATACCATTGCAACGACATGTTCTGAGGATATGACTCTGAAAAGTATAGAACAGACAGAGTCGAAAATCCTATTTCTAGAGATTAGCATTCAACTGTTCTATTACACACCTCGAAATGTAAACACTGTTACTTAATCGAAAATTCTGCAAGGACTCAACTAAAATAGATGAAATCCATGCAAAAATATAATTTTTAAAAGAAAGGTTTGTATTTCTTAATGGAGATCGTTGTAAAATGAATGATTAAACTATTTGAATTCCAAACAACAAATTGAAGATATAAACCTTCTTTTATCTGCTTTGATTTAACTAGTTTAATAGCAGGATCATTAGAGATTACTCAAAAAAAAACTTAGTTCGAAATTAAGTGTACATAAACCCGTACTTCATAAATGACTTAAATTAACATTATTTTATTAAAAATGGAAAAAAAAATCAGTTGTAGAGGTTATTTCTAATACAAAAAAGATTAGGAATGGAACGTCAATATTGAATTGTCTTATATAATCGTAGTTCGACCAGTAAAGGAAATAGCGATTTAATTACCAAAGAAATATAAATGTCAGAGTTGATACGATGATTCACTAAAAAAATTATTCACTCAGATAAAAGTAGCTTAGGAACGATATATACTTCCCATAAATTTGGTTATGTATCGTAACTCACAGCGATCATCTCGAACAGACTTTAAAATTGAACCAATAAATAAAAACAAACAAGTAATCTAAGTGTAACTCTATAGCAGGTTCTATTCGTGACAGGTTGAGATCCGTTGGAGTTGCTCCACTTGTGATTGACTTCAAGACGTTCCTGAAGCTATTGTGAGAATTTGAGACCAGCGGAGGTCAGGCATGTGAGGACTAAAACAATTATCACCAATAACACTGAATAAACGTTGCGATATATCACAGGCTGACTGAAGCTGGAAATGTACCATTGGACATTAACTGAATGATTCTAATAGCTAAGTATTTTTCATGAGACACAAAGGTTTTGAGTTCTATCCCTGGTGTGATCGTGAGTGCTCACAGTTAAAGAGTTTCATAATGAAACAAAGCAGCAGTTTATTGTTTTCTAAGTTTTCAATGGTACCGCCCACCATTGAGACCACCCGATGACGAATACAGCCCATTAATTGTCGACTGCTTAAGGTGAAGTCACTTTCAAGAACGAATAAACAATATCATTTGAAGGTATCACGAAAAATATAAAAACCACTGGAAAATTAGCTCTATCATTCTGATTTACGTATTTAACAACAATACAAATTCAAATCTTAATTTCAACACCGCCTATAATCATCAGTATGAAACTGTTGTACAAGTATCAAACTAATAATGACACAATTATCTTAGAAGTATGTTCTGATTTTCAATGATTCTCTACATTTGATACCAGTTCATGATAAAAATAATGATAATGATTTAATAAAACATGATTCGTAAAAACCTAAATTACTGACAAGATATAAGTACCACATGAAACATTCCATTACATAGTTGTAGAAATATTAGGAATAACAGGAAAATATGGTACGTTCAACAGTTATCCATAAATTAAAACATTACAAAATCATTAATTATTCCTTATATAGAAATAAAGCTTTAGTAATCTCAATAATATATGTCGGTAAAAAAAAGGTTAGGTATTTGTATTACAAATTCAGTTTAAGTTAATTAACTTAGAATTATAGATACGTAAATATATGCATATATGTGGGTAATAAGAGATATCAACTCATAATTATTCGTAGTCATTCAGTTATAAGCAACGCTGAATCTAGGCATAGATGTTCACCGAGTCAAGTTGACACAATTCACATCAGTACGGTTAGGTGTAGTTATCAAGACAATTGCCATTATGATAGTACATATAAGGTATAGATAATGATTCGAGAAAAGAAAGTAAATATACAGAATAAAAAGTATCAGTATTTTAGAATAAAGAGTGAATGCATCTGAACCACTGATAACATCTAACACATGATAATTACTAGAACCCCAACCGAGTAGTTTGCACCTACCTATATGGTTCAGTCCGACAGTCAATCACTCCATGGATTTAAGTTGAATCTCGTATTGACTGCCTCTAACTTTCTTCTAACCTACTCCTCTACATTGACCATCATCGCGCGTCAAGGTAACCGGGGATTGAAGATACTCAACACATTTTCTGACCACCTCAGCTGTTAATGATTTGTAATTATTCTACGACTGCAAATATGATCGTCAAGTTATTAAACCACATAACTAATTTACTTTCAATATCACACAGAACAATCATATTCAGACATTATTGGAATGATGATAAACTTAGTAAATAAGAGCGGAAAACTAGTAAAAAATGAGATAGGAGAGACAAACAGAGAGGAAGAGGATGGAATACAAAAGAAAACAGAATGACGGAAATTGAATAACACTGATCATATTTCTAACTTACCAGGAGTAATTGTAATTTGAGATGTGGATGCTGGTGTGTTCTGATTCCATAATTCTATATGAGATGAATCATCAATCGTATTAGTACACAAATTGGAAGCCTAAATATATACAGATATCGAAAAAATGAAGCAAAATAGAAACGTATTGTACAATTCAACTCTTAACTCACGAAAATATACTGAACTGCATGTTTATCAAGAAATTGAATGATTAGACAGTCTATTCGTATTATATACTGTCAACAGATAGAGTAACATGGAAAGCCAAAAAGCAATCAACTAGTCAATTAATGATCTTCAATTTAATCAACTGCATATCGTTAATCCGACTCGGGATCATAATCTTACGATCTATCCGGGATGAAATGATAAACAAGTTTTGGGAAGAAATTTGAGTGCTAACTATTATAATGATTAATCATTCCAATGAAATCAGAAAACATAAATTTGATTTTTTTCGCAGTCAGCTAAGTTCTATTACTGATACATATAAGCTTCTTATAAGAGTGCCTAAACCAGTTATTCGAGTGAAAACAACCAAAAATGGTTAACCGTATTGACAATATATGCATAAATCATTTGTAAATATAAATACATGTCCCTCAGAAAATGAAACCACATTTTAAACCAATAGCGTATGTCTGCTTTCTTAGAAAGTAAGTCCATAATCTTCACTAATACCAAGTCATCATTAGCATCCTTTTTTATCATTTCATCTATGTCTGATTGTCCCAGAGTATCAAGAAATCATTATATTTTAATTTCAGTGGTTGAATTTCCCGACTCATTTATGCTGTGAATGGCTACCGAATTGAAATGTAGTTTTATGCATATTAGTTAGTAATATTAGCTGAAATACGATACAGAGTAGTTTAGAATATTTTTGTCTACTGTATTATTTATCATTAGTAACATGATAATCAAATGTCCAAGAGAGGGGTTTTGTGGATATTATATTAATTTAATTAGTGAATTCATAAGTCAATCGAAGCTAGACCACCATGGAAAAGGTGGAAGCACTGGACGGGACTGATAAATCCTAGGTTCGAATCTCGTGAGGCGAGATCGTGGATGCGCACTGCTGAACAGTCCCATACTAGGACGAAACAGCCTTCCAGTGCTTCTACGATTTCCATGGTGGTTTAGCTTCAATTGACTCGTGAATTCAACAATTAAAAGTTCAAGTGAGAATTCATCAATTAAAATAAGTCGTGGGCCTTGTGAATTTTGGTTGATTACTGATAATTGCGGAGAATGTCTAATCAACATTTATGATACGTTGGAGCGTATCTGTTACTGTTCAATTCAATAAACAATAATAATGAGATTTTCAGATGGTTAGTCAATGTGAAAAGGGAACAGGGAACTCTCACTAATGAATGGAACGCATTAGAATGTAATCTATTAGTTGATAAGTATTGTTATAAATATTTCGTTTTTTGTCGTCATACTGATTCATGTAACCTGTGAACTATGATGATTTAAACAAAACAAATGAAGTTTTACGGAAAATCCTCTTTCATAATTTCATTCTAGTATTCCACTGGAACTAATTCTATTTCGATCCTCTTTTCCGCCACATACGTAAACAACACAAAGGCCTTAAAAATTTTCATCTTATTTTTCTCATTAGTTAATTAATGTTCACTAACATTTCGGGTTTCTATCAAGTTAAATAATAAGTACATGATGCAGAGTTTTATATCGGTGAACGAAGCCATACAATTAAGTATAGATAGTTGTTAGAATCAATTAAAGAAAGTATTTATAATGAGACTTATAAGCTGCTTCGGTTTGGGCACCTAGGTAGTATTCCAGTCCTCACACAAATCGAAGGATATATCTAGTGATTCCTTGTATTAATGTTTATGTGTTTAAATAAAGACTGGTTAGTTAAGCAAAATTTATCACTTGGAAAATAGGCCAACTATTTTTACATTTTTATTAAAATTTAAAACGTTTTACTGGCAATAAAAATATTCCCATATTGGTGAAAATTGTCATTCAGACATTTAGTAACCAAAATAAAAAGACGAACAGACTGAATAGTTTTCCATCATGACTCTACATTAATACAGATATTTAACAATAACAATAATAAAATATGCTAGTCATCTAGTGGGTGATGTATTAGATAATAACACAAATTTAAGTGTTTATCACAATAATTTTGAATGTTTTAATTAAACAATTAGAAAATGGAAAGGATAACGTGATCAATGTTTAAAGACACTAAACGTAGTTTATAATTCAAATTCTGAATGTGGATTACGATGGTGTAGATGTCAGTCAGTCAGTAACAACGTAGAACTTCGTACGTACATCAGTTTGAGTTGCCATACCACATTAGCACACAGATACAATTGTCGATTCAAATCCCATAGTGGTAAAAGTAGTAAGAGTATAGGTAGTAGTCGGAAACATTAGGGTTTGAAGATGTTATTCAAGGAGTATAATTCAGTGAAATAAATTTGGAAAGAGAAAAAAAGGGAAATGAAGAACTCAGAAGATTAGAATCTGGGAGAACACAAAGAGTGGATGCACTTGCACCATTGCAAACGATTTTGAGTCATATTATTCAACGTCTATAACCATTGATTGCTATTATCTCGTGGTCCCCAACCAGGTAGTCTACACCTACCAACATGGCTCAGTTCACTTGTCAGTGAGTTCATGAATTTGTGCCATGTTTTGGTCTGGCCGCCCCTAGCTTTCTTCCAACCTACTCCTATACCACTGAACATCGCACGTCGAGGCAGTCGGCCGTTGGGCATACGTAACACATGTCTCAGCCATCTCAACTGATGAAGTTTCACTGCGTCATCAATTGATTTGCCATCCTTATCTAGTACCCGTTTCCTAACAACTGTATTACTTACTCGGTGGTCCCAGGATATACGAGCAATGTTTCGAAGACACTTATGATCGAACACTAGTAACCTACGGTGTAGATGACTGGTATATTTTATTATTGCTATTGTGAAACATCTGTATTAGTGTAGATTCATGATGAAAAACTAACTGAAAAGAAATATTTCTTCGGTATATTCACTTTAGAAAAATTATTGTAGACGTTATCAAGGCTGACCGTAAACCTTGAGAGTGATAAAAGGAGCAGACGTCGACAAACAGGTGATGGACAAGGAGGTAACAATGTTACTTAGGGAGAAGGAAAGACTGAGATTGAACGTATTCAGAGCCCTAACCTGAATAGATGATGAGGATTATGTGGAGGTAATCACGAAGGACGTGCGTCATAAGATGGTTCATGAGTATCACCAGGTATCGCAAAAACAACGGACTTATTACGACAAGGTACGTACTGGCCAGGTATGAGAGACGACGTTGCACAATATGTGTTAACATGCTAGCAATACCAACGAATAAAAAGTGGTTGATATATACAATCGCCAGTACAATCAGTCCCAGTAGCCGCAGTTGGTGATCTATAGTCAGTGGATGTAATGGGACCGTTTCCACAAACGGCGAGCGATAACCAGTACCTGCCAGTGATGACAAAACATGCTACACGCTGAGCAGATGTATAGTGTATTTAAATGTAACGCAACTCATTAAAAAGTACACATCAATCTACTCTGGCCTAATGTTCACTTTTTAAGTGAAGAACACCGATACTAGTCAAGTTTCTGAAACGAAGGTTGGATTACATTTTTAAAATTAAATACATAAAATCTAAGTGTTTAGGATCTTAAGCTATGGCTTGACTTCTGTTAAATATTACAGAGAATATATCTCAAAATAAACGATCATTTTTGTAATAAGAGTGAAGTAAGCATAACAATTCTGCTAAGGTAAGGGTTACTGAAAATTATTCCTTCTATATCCTATTAATATACACTATATCACAAAGGCTTACAGTAAATGCTCCCCGTGGTTCAAATTCAGTTCGACTCAAGTGTCGATTCAGAAGATTGTCTACATCAACTTGTAAATTGACTGGATCACTATTATTATTGTCATCACCATTATAATTATTAAATCCAATTGATTGAGAATTTGATAAATGCTGATTGATTACATTGTTATTTTCAATTTCATCATTTTCACTATCTGACAAATCATTTATCTCACTATCATTATTATCATCAATGTTATCATCTGCCATATGTACAATTTCACTACCTAGTAAAGCATAACCAACAGGTATAACTGTTGAATCTATGATATCTTCATTATTTTCTATGCCTAAACAAAGAAATTATTATAAATTATAATTTTACCATTTATATAATTATCATTACGATTATCACCAATTTCATCATTTGGATTTGGAGAAGATGGTTCACTAAATTTTTTCATTACCATAATTGTATATACACAATTCAATATGTACTTTTATAAGTAGTTACATACATGTATACAAATATCAACTGTAAAGAGAAAATAAAAACAAAACTCTATGAATTAACATTAAGCATAATATTGAACAACAACTTAATTTATAATAGATTTTCGATTGTTAATAATCCAACAACAAAACAACACATGCCAAATTGAATTAAAATTCATATTCATTGTACAAGTGAGTGACTATTTGAAATCAGTAAGTGGATAGCCCGCTAGGCATTTGAAACGAAAATTAATGGGTTCGAATCCCAGAGGTTCATATATATATTTATTTATTTAAATACAAATATTTGTAGAAAGAGGCATCTAAATAGATATGCACCACAAAAACCATCGAATTAGTGCGAGAGCTGAGGTACTCAACGCGTGTTAGGACTGGACCAAGTGGTTTCCTTAGGTGGCCACTTCCCGAGCATTTGACCCATAGGTCTAATCCACTAGGCGGTGGAGCAACGTTAGGAGATCTAGTCTCATGATAGCCGGTAACCAAAAATAGGTCCATACGCCAGAACCCTGGAGCCGATATGCACCATCAATTTGGAATCGGGGTTTTCCACACCCCAAGGTGGATCCTTTATAGCTACCAACCCGGTTTAAGCACCAGCTATTTCATTTTCGTCCTCTCAATTTTGTAAGCTGTTGGGGATGCTAAGTCCCCAGAAACCACTTGGTAAAAGTCACATTTTTGTAGTTTTATTTTGGAAATTTAAATTTCTCATATTCGCACCAAAAGCGCCCGCTTTTACCTTCAGATTGAAAGGACCTTAAATGACACTGATTCGTTGCATAAGCAACACCCTTGCCGAAAGAAGACAATGAGTAGGACTTCCCTGGTAGTGACTTTATACACGTGAACATATGAGAGAAATTCGAGAGGGAGAGAGGACTCTCCCCACCCACGATCATACCAGGGCATTTGGGCGGCCGAAAATGCAGATAAACCCAGTTGATAATGTTCAACTAGGAAAAACACACGCGTCTAGGACCCCATTTCTAGTTACATTTCATCTATTCTATATTTTTTTAAAAAATAAATAACAGAAACAAATACACAAAAGCGACACCGATGCATAAACACAACCGTACGAACATCAAGAGAACAAAAATTACAGTGATAAAATACTTCTATTTCATAAAATCCACCAACATAAAAACGAACTGTAAAAGTAGTAACAGTAGTTCGTTGTTAATTAAAGACTAAAAACAAATCGAAATGATAATTAACAAGAAGTTATGTCTGTATAGATATATAAGTTTTAATCTGACGGATTAGTATCGGAGAACTGATAATTATTCCATATTTCATAAAATAATGGACGACAATTAACTACAGCTTTCAATTTACTACATAACAAAAAACAACCAGACATTTTTCTATGCAATGAATAACTTTCTTCTGGTGGTGGACTTAATCTATGCTCAAGCATAACAGGAATTAAATGACTGATACGTTTAGTAGTTGACTGTTGACTAAAATCGAAATTTTCTTCTGAAGCAAATGCTTCACCCAATATACTGACTGCATTCACATGAGCTTGTTGTAAAACCTGTTGATTAAAAGTAGATGAGAATAATAAAATAAGAATGAGTGTATTCAACATGATATCTTCATAGATTTCCAGTAGAATATTATATAAAAAATTACTCAATTTAAAATCAGTTAATAAATGAAATGAGGGTCAACCATTCACAATTAATAAGTCAGGATCACTGAGAACAATTTACAAATATATCAGCTAAGATCTTCAATCATTGTTTATGATTATCACGCGAATCCCCCAGTAGGAAATTTATACCTTTCAACATGATTCGGTCGGAGGCAGTCATTGGTTTTATTGATTAACCTCACTTCATGATCTAGCTGCCGATTAAATGTTTTTCAAACCACTCCTATGATAGCCTGAATTGTATGTCAGTGTAGGCAATGGTTAGATGTATTTAGATCATCCAAATCGACAGCTTACAGTCTCATCAATGGGTTTATCATCTCTTTCTAGAACCTTACGTTTAATCTTAACACCGTGCAATTTGTCGTTTCAATTGAGTCGTGGAGACACTTATAGTCAAATACTAATAACCTACACACATCTATCATCAAAGATAAAGTTCCAAAGTCATTAATTAATATAGAATGAATTTCTGTACAGTTCAAATACTCTCTAATTGGTAGACGGACAGGCAGAAAACATCAAGTGGGCTTGATATCAGCTCATCCAGAATACCGAAAACACGAACACAAAGACAAGGTATATGCATATAGAAAGGCTAGAAGAAAAAAATCCCAATCAATGAAGAGTTGATTTCCTGCCTTCTAATGTTTATCCTACTATATTTCCTTAAGAGATAAAATAAAATTACAATGAATAGACATTGGTTTACATTTTGAGTTAGATTTAACAATGTCAGGTACAAAATTATACAAACAGTCAGATTGAATATAGGGCTACCGTAAATAAATACGAAATTATTAATTAAACAACATAAATTAGTTATTGAGTTTACAAGCTACAATTGAATATATCACGGTAAAACGACCGCTTAAACAACATTTGTTAGATTTTAGCTGATGATGTACCAGAAGTGTTCAGAAATCCACAACAGAACATCGAATTGTACTTCGAAGTTGAATCACGTGAAGAAATGTAAGTTTGTGCAGTGCACACATTAGAGAGGAGATGCTAGACAATTCAGTTTGAAATATGTTAGGGTATCACAGATACATTTATTCTCTGATGTCCCTTTAAGCCCTAAGTACCAATTTATGGCAAGCCTGTTCTTGATAAATTATTCTCCCTTTAATGTTTAAGAATATTGCTACTTGGCACAGATAAGTCAATTAGACAGAAGGAACATGGAATCTGCCAGATATCTTCATTGGTTCAAGTCACCACATCATAGCATAGTCAAGTGAACTTATTAAAATGAATACCAAAAGTAATAATATATCAGTGGTAGTAAAACAGACTCAACATAAATAATGCATGATCTAGAATATATCATGTAAAAGAGAACAACCAGAAGACATCGTAGAGAAATATATGATTATCCCGACTGATTGTAAGAAATTTGAACATCATTCAAACGCTCCACTTCTAAAAGATTTTCAGTCATTTAAATGATTGTATATCATACAAAAAGAAGAATTACTCCCTTCAAAAGTGAGAAATACACACTGATGGTAAAATATTACTGTCGAAAGATCAAATAAACTGCTGACATCTAAATGATATGTTTGTGTAATCGGATAGAAAAAAAAAACATTTTGGAGGATATAATTGGAAAAACAACAGTAAAAACAAACTATAAAATTACTTTTGTTTCGTAACCAGTCAAAAAGCCTAAATCTTTCGATAGTTTAAGTATAGTTTCTTCATCATGTTCCGCTGAAGCATGAATTAGACGAATATATGTGTCGACAAAGGATTTATCGTATTCTCTAGAAGCTCCAAAATCTAATAAAACAATCTACAGAACAAATATTTAAAAATAACAATGATAATTCAAGACAAAAAATCATACGTAACATGAATAAATGAATTTTCGAAAGCCTTAGTACAACTTCAGAAGAAAATCAGGATGAAAAATTGCAAGTAAGTGATTTTTAAACTGGACTTCTAGCCACGATTTCGCATTTACTTTATCACCTGGCCGAGACTGACACTTTGACATGATGGTCGGGATTTCTTATCATGATGACCCAATTCAAATGTATTAGCTGGAAGACGTGTTCCTCTAAATCCTACAATGACAAGTCGGTTAAAAACTGATAAGACCAAAAGCAGCAACTTAAGGTCTGATGGTGAAGCCCTACTTCTGACTTTACGGTAGTGCAACGGCTCTTTCAACAACGAACAGAGGGACTCAGAAAAGGTCGGGCCTAAAATCACCATACCTTGTTTTGCTACACGGGTTTTAGTCACCAGCGGTAAGAATTCATAGGTACGGCGCTAACTCATTTAAGACGACTCGAAAAAGACCATGTGTGACTGGCTCCATGTAGTTGTCTCTTGGGCTCTGTACTCATTTTTCCAGTTCGTTTATTTCACCATTAATCCAGTTTACTTTAAATTTCCTACCAAAAGAAGCATAAACCTACGGGGCAGGTGACGAGGAAGTAATCGTGCTCTAGATTATTTTTCCTACAGTTACATTTTCCCTTTACTTCCTAAACATTTTTCTGTCGCTACTATCAATCCTCCACCTCTATTTTCGACTTTTCCACGCGTGTCACTAGTACTAATGGCTCGAGTTTACGAACTGTTATCCACTACATATATCTCAACTTTCGACAGTTGAATAGTATCATTATGGCCACGAATAATTAACGCAGTGCCTAAGACCTAACATATAACCATTTAATTATACGAATAAAATCGAGCAGAAAACTCGTTACAATTATAGTATATGTTGGTTTAATCTAAAGAACAAATAAACATAAACGTGTAATACCGCCAGAATCAAGGATAGATTGTTTATATCTGTAATGAAATCATGACGATAGTCATCTATCAACTGTCTATTGGATGGCCTTATTAGAAACGCAGATAAGTCACAACACAGGTCACTATTTATACGCACTAACACAAAATAATAAAGATCGACTATAATGGGGATCAATTATGAAGCTTCAAATAACGAAAAGTATTGATTTCGAGATGGATTTAGATAGAAAAATTACACCTGAAACATTGCCCAAATGAAGTTTACTTTAGGAAGTTTCTGATGAAATAATCATAATCACATGATCGAGATCTTCAGTAGACAGACTAATAGGAAAACAAACCTGGAAGATCAAAGATAATGGGTTTCAGAAGTTTCGCCGGAATTAAATGCAGTTTCTTCATGATGAGCTGCAGAATGACAAATATCAGCACATCTGAAATGTTGGTTTAGGAACAAATCTACCAAATAGAGACGATAAACAGAATGTACCAGGAACCATAGACTGGGGGTTAAGG